CCATACCAATTATTAAGGAAATTTTTAGTCATTATTAAAGCATAAGCAATAAATTATAAGAAAATTATGAAATAAAGAAAACTGACCAAATGCTATTCAGAGAATGAAGAAATTTTTTTGAATATTCAGTTTTGGAAGTCTGGTGTAATGACAAAGGGTCAAAGAGCATTTTACTCAAAGCTAAAATTAAAAAAAATTGCCATTTCGCCATTATCATCAAATTGCATGTAATTATTAAGTATGCTTGGGATAATAGTATCCATGTGTTCAGTGGGCCTGCTAACTTGGTTTTTCGAGAGCTATGATTTGCATTGAAGTGTTGAAAATTTAATGTTACTTGGTATGCATTAAATGTTCTTAAAATCTCTTGTTATAACATTGTAACAATAAACAATAATTAACAATGTCTAAATATGGATTATAAGAATTTTCATATTCATTATGGAGTAATATCAGGTATGATGCAAGTTCAGTAATACATCTAACACATCAAATTCTGTGCAAGATTTCTAAAGGGGATGATCCCTGTTTATTGATGAAGCTAGACAGGATATATAGTGCTAGGAACTTTTTTTTCACAGCTTCTGGAGCCACTGAAAGAAGTATTTCAAGGTAAATCATATACAGGAGGCTTGATAATATTTACTTTTGCACCAAAAGATATTTATTTGCATCTCAATAATATTTCTCTGGAGAGCTCAGTTTAATTTCTGTGGACAGAATATTTTGAGTCAGAATGGAATATATTCTCTTTGATGATGAACTTGAAATACAGTTTATATAGTGACTATCACTATTTGCATCTGGAGGAAGGAATGAATATGGTATTAATCTCATCAATTGGGTGAGAGTAAGTCTGCTGTGGAAGTAATGGTTTGTTAATATGGCGATTACATACTGATAAATGACCGCATACCTTTCCATATGTTAAGAGATATCTTTAAAATTTCTTAATATTATATTGTGAATATCCAATTACTCAGTCCTTGCTATGATAAAAGAAATCAAATAATATGCAATCTTATGTTTTCACTGCATATTTATATTTTGCTTGTACATAATTTTATTATTTTATCATTGGTTATTTAATGTTTGCAATTATCTTAGTTTCAATAGATTGCATAGTTAAACATAAGTTAGGATAAAAAGATTTTTTTAATGATTGTATTTGTACTTCAAACCGGTATTAAAACATGTATATAAAAGGGTCCATTTGCTCAAAATTGCATTCATGATTAAAAATGTTGCAAAAAGTTGGAGAGATATATTAATAAAATTGTTTATTATATATAATTGCAAAAAGATTTGGAACATTGATTTTAAATATAAAAAGTTAATATTTTTACAAAGTAATTAGTGTATAACCCTGCATATATAAAAGATATAAATATTTATTTTATAATTAAAATTTCATTTGTAAATAATTGCCATACAAGTTGAACATATTAGATTAAGTAAATATTACTTTTCATAGTAAAGAATAAAAAGATGATAAATACAGTACAAAGTCCAAAATCCGGACTCCATTATTTTCTGATTTAAAAACCGGACCTCAAAGCCAAAACATTTTTTTGTATGCTTTACACCTGCACATTTCCTTTTTTCTTCCATAATAAAACATGTGGGGATTTTCACTTAAAAATTCCAATTCTTGATTTCACTTTGGCACTAAATAAAATACCTCATCATTAAAAAACAATTATGTAAGCATAAATTTGTGAGATTAATAATTTGGCTCCGTAGCTGACTGTCTGCTTGGCATACATCTCAAACCGAAACATTTGTGTGTTTTATATCTCTGATGCCGACCTGGCGAGTCATTATTTATTATATATTGCCTTCATCACTGCATGTTTATCACTACATGACAGCTTCAATAATAACTCATGCAGTGATGTCTAATTTTTTTTATATTAGTAATTGAATAACAACAGTATGGCAACTTTTTATGTTAACATTATGCTTGACAATGATGATAGATTTTTAAATACTCTAAGAAATGCTGTCAAGGAAAAATTCAACAAAAATTTCTTTTCATGTGCTAAAAATAGATTTTATTAAGGAAACTCATAGGCCAAAAAGATTATATTTTGTGCTATTTTAATTAAGAATAACTGATGTTATTCACCATAAACTCGGAAGTGGCAGCGGAATTTAGGGAAGACACAATTTTTGGAATTTGGGGAAGCACTGAGCGGCAAAATTAAGGGATGAAAAGGTTTTATATTTTAGGGAGGGGAAGCTCTGGGATACAAAGTTTAGGTTGCCGCAAAAATCTAGAACTTAGGAAGGTGCTTTGTAGTAGAATTTAGAGACTGTACCAGGCGGTATCTATCACCGGCCCTAGATAAAGCGTTAAGTATATGTGGGAGTTTGTTTATTTAGGACTCCGATTAGTTTGAAGCGCGTGAAAGAAGTAAACATAGGTATAGTAAATAACTAATACAATTCAGGCTTAATTCAGTACGCAATAGGAGCAAGACAAAATTTAGCGGAATAACTTGGCTTTTTTGGCCAGTAATGTATAACGGATGCTGTTAAGCTAGGCTAAAATTAACTTAACTGATTCTAAAGCATTTCAGTTAATGTAGCAGATAGATCTGCTCCTTAATCTTCTAATCTGATGCAGCTTATTATTTTTTGCAGACTGTTATTTTATAAAAAATTAAGCTTGAACTTTCGATTATATCGAAAAGAGTTTACAGTTCTGGAGCTGCAAAGGATTTACAAAGTGAAACCATGTTTCGATGTCCATTAAACAAAAAGTGGAATTGCTGCAAAAAATGGAGAAAGGCATATCGGTCTCAAAATTATGCGAGGAGTATGGCATTAGAAAGTCAACTGTATATAACATAAGAAAAAGGAACTTTTAGAATTTTTTATGGAAGCAACTTAAACAATTTACATTGAAAGAAATTTTTAATAAAGCAAACCAATAAATATTAAGCTTTTTTTTGTAAACTTTGATATCCTTTAGATCATTATTGTTCTTTATTTCATAAATTACGATTTCATATTTTTGATTGTATTATTTCTGCATGCCATCATACCGGATTTAAATTGATGATCTATTATCTGGAAAAATCCCAAATCTGGAATCGCCAAAGTCCCGACGATACATTATAATGTAGCCCTTTTTTTTAGTTTTGCTATTTTCTTTCATCTTTGGGCGTTCTGTCTACAGTTGTCTTTGTAATCTGCCATTAGAAATTAAAAAAAAAAAAAAAAGAGTTTTACTTAATGATAAATGCTTATCAATATATTAAGCACAGTTTTTTTTTTAACCTGAAGTGGATTAAAGTAGAATTTTAATTTATAATGTCAGTGTCAGCTGGTTTGCTTTAGGAAGTTCTGTGTGAAAGCACTGTTTGCTGCCATAATTAAGTGAATTCCTAGTTATAACTGCATTATCAACTTGGTATGATATATATATATATATATATATATATATATATATAAAACTGCTCCATTATTGTGATAAGACTGCGTTATTATTGTAATAAGATGACTTGGTGAGTATTGTAAGGGATTGGCGTTGGAGAGGACTACATAGTTAGAGACTGTGTAGTTAGCAAGATGACACTTGGAAGAACACACACAACTGTAAATTCCACACATAATTTTATTTCTTGGATAATGCACATTATCACTGTGCACTCCCCATTTTTGTACAACTTGCATCTTAAACAATGGGTGAATTTATAAAAGTAAACTTTGCGTGGCTAGCAATGCAGTGGGAAACAGCAGAAGAAACGAGCAAAGAGAAGAAGAGGAATTTGCAACGTAATTTACCCTTTTATATTGAATTCCATTTCAGATCGCTTGATAGATTAATGTACAGGTGTTGGGTTCAGACTTCATCAATGAGTGCACAATACAGATTAGATAATGGATGAAGACAGGAGTTAAAGGGCTATTAATTTATTATTTGAAAGCTAGATTTTATATTTTACATATAGTATATATTAATAAGAAAAATAAAATTATCTTCAAGAAAGAAAAATTGTAATCTTAATTGTTAGTAAAGTAAAATCCTTTTAATTATTTTCTAAATTCATTAATAAAGGTAAAGAATATGTCAAAAATATAAAAATTGAATTAAACTGTAAAAGGCGATAAATTCAGTTATTATCATTGAACAGGAACTGATTGACTTTTCACGGGGAACAAACTTATTTCCATTCAAATAACAATAATTAGTTTAAGCGATTATTTTTCATCACCTCTATTTGCAAGAATCTTATATCAAAATGAGTGAAATTGTTTTTAAAGAAATCAGTTATTGAGCACTTGATCAATTACATACAAATAACAAAGTGACATTTAAAACTTTTAATCACATAATCAATTAGATCCATATTACAAGCCAAAAAATAATAAAGTTCAATAATTAAGCACATGTGCAATTAGATCCATAAACCAGTAAATATGGTCAGTTAGATCCATATTTACTTCAATAATACTTAAGATTGCAATTTTTCTTTCTCTTCCTTGGAGATAATTTTATTATTTTTCTTATTATAATTAATGTTTATTTTTAACTATACAGCTTCAGTCAAGTTTTAGGCTTTTTTAGTACATAATTCTTACCTTTTAATTCTTTGAATTAAAGTATTTAAATGGAAAAAAAGATGTTTATTACCTTTAAATCTTTCCTTTTTAACTTATAATTACATGCGGTATGTAATACATAAAACTACAATATATCAGGCTACTGTATTATTACAAAAATTAAAATAAGTAAAATCGTATAGAAGTTATTGTCTAAATCTGTTTTGGGAGTGTAATGAAGTATAAATTCTAATAATTAAATTTACAGTTGTTGCAGTTTTATGTGCAGTTTACATGGCTATGAATAAGATTTAGAATATTTTACTGTACTGTAACTGTTATATGTTGTACAGTAAAGCAAGCAGTTCTTTTTTGTGTTTACTTCTGTATAAATTGGAATTTAATTTTTTATTTAATTTTTTACATAGTACAGTAGCTGTGTGTAATAGTATTTCAGGTGGTTTATATTCAGTCGTGCATTGGTAGGAACAGGAGAAGCAAGTTATTCCACTATAGCTCCAACTGTTATTGCTGACTTGTTCACTGGTACTGCCAGGACGCGAATGTTGTCTTTGTTTTATTTTGCCATTCCTGTCGGAAGGTATGTTTTTATTATGTGTTTAATTTCAGTCTGTGTTTAATTTTAGATATACAGTACAAAGTTCGAAATCCGGACTCCATTATCCAGAATTATCTAAAATCCGGACCGGCCCACCAGCGGCCAAGCGGTAAAGTCGCTGATCGGCCAAGCAGTAAAGAAATAGATCCAGAAAATACCTCTCCTGATAGTGAAGAAAGTGACAGAGAAGTTACTGAAAACGAGAAAATTTTGATTGACTAGTTAGTCGGAATTCTCGAAATGGCAGTTACAGGATTTCAACAAGAGATTATGTCTGTCTACAGAATTAAAAAGAAAGTATTAGCACAAAAAATGAAGCAACTTAAACAACTTACATTGAAAGAAAGAACTATTTAATAAGGTAAACAAATAAATATTAAGCTTTTTTGGGTAATTTTGATACCCTTTAGATCATAAATACTTCATTATTTCATAAATTACGATTTCGTATTGTTAATTTTATAATTTCTACATGCCATCTTACTAGATTTAAACTGATGATCTAATATCTGGAAAAATCGCAAATCCGGAATCGCTGAAGTCCCGATGAGCCCAGATTTCGGACTTTGTACTGTATCTTCTTATTGAAAGTACTTCATTGCATGATGATATGTGATCTTTTTATTGTAATTAACCCACTAATCAAGAAAGCATTTTGAATCTGATCATAAAGAGCTACATTTAAATAGTATATATTAAGTGGATTTTCAGAATTACTGATCTTACTCTTAATTTTCTTAATCTTCCATTCATTAAAATGTTATTTCTATCATTACAGAAAATAAGGAAATGAAACATTGTATATTCAGAATTAATCATCCTTGTTAATATTGTGAACTTGAATTTATTTTATGTATTTGTTTTTATATCTTTTCCCTGAAATGTAATTTACCTTTCCTCTTACATCAATATTTGTTTGCATATGCTGTATCGAATTTTGTATAACTGATTTGGCAGCATCGTATTGTAGTAGAAATATAAGTCTAAAAATAAAATGCAGCATTATCTCTTGTTAGCACTTCACACATTGTAGATGGTAATAATTGCTTTTCTAATTACTTAATGTTAAATAAATTGATCTTAATATAGCTCACTGATTAGATACTTTAAGAATATTTTAATCAGCCAATCATGCTTGCATATTTTCAGTGTTCTCACTTACATATTTTTAGTAATATAATGAAATTTTACAACTTAAATCTCTGAAATTAGCCTTTAGGAAAATTTATGTATTATTCCAGGAGCAATATAAGGATTTAAAAACTTAATAGCTTAAGTCTTTCATTTCCATTTATTATGGTTGCTATTGAAACTTCTGTTATTTATATCAAAATTAGTATTGTATAGACAGTCTTGTGTTCTCCCATTTTATTTTTCTAACAGTTGATGCAGTAATTGTAAAATTTTCTTCAACTGCATTTCGGATTTCTCCACTGTTTTTGCCTAATCATCATTTAAACGCTAATAGCTAAACTGTAAAACAGTTCAAGTATACAGCTATTAATTGTCCGTTTGCCATTGATTCTTGTTGAAATAAGAGTTATATAAATAAAAACACTCTGTTTTGAGTGTGTTTTCATTTTGTGGAGCGGTAAAGTCACTGAACACTGGTAGTTCGGTCCGAGGTTCGAATCCTGCTAACGGGCTGGCTGCATGGGTGTTTTCGTGTTTTTCCCCATGTGTAACGTGTATACGAGCCAGTTTCCCTTAGAAAGTCCTCCACGAAGGCATCCCTCCCCTTAGGCAGATAGCACTAGTGTGCTCTGCCATAATTAAATACACACCATTTTGTGTGCTGAATTAATTTACAAAAACCAAATGAAATTGTTATTCCAATTAAACTGCTTAAAAGGTAAGTAAATTTTTGATAGTATTTTTCTGTTAATTATGGTATAATTTAATCCACTTTTCTGTTTTCTTTTTAACTGCTTTCCGATCAACCGTAGATTTTTAACCCTTTTGCCATCCTCTCCTGTCCGCGAAAAGTTCTCTTCAGTGGCCCTTTGTTTTCCGCAGGGTGTAATATTGTTTTCTCTCTACATGCATAACTTTTGTAGTGGATGAATTTAAATGAATATTAAGGAAATAAAGCATAATGGAAAAGTAGTAATATTTCTGCATATTTCTAACAGCAGGATTAATTTGATAATATCTCATCCAGGTGTCCACTCCTCCCAATTTGTTGTTGTATACTCATCAAACATATATCCTTCTTGTCTTTCCAATTCACTACCTCATTTTTTCTCTTTTTCTACTGAGAAGACGTTGAAGATCTCTCGCTGTCTCTTCTGTCTTATGTAAAATGGCACGAATATTCATAAAACCGAGGGGGGGGGAATTCAATTAGAAATAAAATGCCTGATTAGTACTGCCCTCTAGGAGGTATCAAAACAGACAAAAATAAAAACTCAAACAAGTAAACATTTAGAAAGCGTTTTGAACATTTAAATGTTTTAAGGTGTAGAAGAACGCTTGAAGCGCGTTACGGCCGCCCTGCAGAAGTTTCACTTGAACGCGCTAGACGCATTATGGACGACGAAGAGGTTAAGATTAATAATAGGGCTGATAACTAGGGTAATATTGGAGACAGTATTATTCTGGTTATGAGTATTCCAGTTAGGAGTTATCTGAAACTTGAGTATATTTATGCATGAAATGAAATATAGAGTTTTAGAACAAGAATACAAGTTAATTGTAATCTGATATTTAGGTTCCAGTTTAAACTAAAGAAAAGTTTTAAGCTAAGCTGTATGTAAGCTGATTTAAGCCTCAGAAATTCAAAATAACATCTTATCAAATCATATGTTTAAAATGAGCTGTTTAGAATGGCAGTGTCAACTTCTAAGAAAGATAAATATTAGATTGTCAGACTTCTTCCCTTCTTTAATAAAGAAGATATTAAATTATTCATTACAAAGCTGTGCATTTTTTCATTGGCCCATTCACACACAGGCCTGCAAATATTTCCTGCAACTAAAGTGGCAACAATTTCTGTTTTGCAAGGAGGAAAATGAAAACAATAACACTAGGTTTTATGTGTTGCAAATTGAATTTTTTCAAAGATCTCAAGTTTCATGGTAAATATTGAAATTATATATGATTTTTTTTTTTTTTTTCAGATGAGTGAATTGGCTACTTTATAAGTTTCACTTTAACATTCAGCTGCTTGTTGTGTATTTTCATTTATTTGATTAAAAAACATTACTTGGATGTTTTTTCATGCATTTAGCATTTAAAATTGTTGTTCTGAAGAAAATTGCGAAATTGAGAATTTTACTGTATTTTATCAACTTTTGCCTTTCACATGCAGCATTTTTTATTCAGTTGACTAACAATGAATTTAACTAATATATAGGCACGATTAAAGAAGTCTGGTTGTATATTCAGAGCACTTTCAGTTTCAAGCTACTTACTGTATTCTGAAATCAATTTATTACCGTTTTGGTTGCAAGTTATCACTTCAGACCAAAGCAACAGCTCTTTAATAAAAATAATAATTAAAATTTATTTAAATTAAGCTGTTATCTCTGCCATTTGCAGAATTCTTGAAATCCTAGTATATGTGTAAATCTCTTGTATCTAAAAAGGGTACTTTCAGACTAATGCAATTAAAATTTTGTTTAATTGAATTGAACTGATGCAGAGATCGACTTGTATCCATTAATGTTAACCTAAATGCACAGCAGTTGTTAAATTAAAATCCAAAACTAAACTGCAGGTATGATTTTGTTACATTTTTTAAACACATATTTAATTTCCAACCAAATATGATGAATTATCAAAGAAATTATTTCTATAATTGAGCAAATAACGTTAAGTGAAAATTCTACTTTTTCAATAATTTATCTGTTTGGTGGAACACTTCTACATCTGCGTTCATAGTTGCATTTTTTTCTGGTATCCCAAATTTAGTTACAAACACGTTTTTTGCAATTATTCAAAATAGTCTACATTAATATTTTAAAAAATTAGTGTCGTATGTAATTTGGGGACTGATAAATAAAGTGTAAGCAGCTAGTGTTTGTTAAAAAGTGTATTTAAAAATACATGAAAGCGAACGGTTTCTAACACTATGAAATTCAGCTACAGAATTTTATTTCTAGCGAGTCACAAGAATGACGGATTTCAGTTGTAATATGCTTTTACGATTGTTTAGAAGATGGATAGCAATACGAAGCCATCAGTAGGCATGCTATCATCTTAGCAATGTTTTCTTTAAAAAAAAAGATTAATTTGATAGAGGTGGAATCCTTGTATGAAAAGTTGTTGGACCACCACACACCAGTGTGTGCTTAGACACAAGTGCTGTGACTGAACTGCATTTTAGGGATGAGGTTCTTAAACTATATGTAAGACTTTTTCCAGTGAACTATTTTAGAGAAATTTATTTGTACGGCTATAAAATTAATGCCACATAGAGCTCAGTTAGTCAGATTTCTGGGGAAGAAAGATATTTCCCATTTGATACAGCAAGCCTTACTTGAATCCTTTTAGAGCATGTTTGGGATTCTCTAGGAACAGCCAGCGTACAATATCGACATTCTTCCAAGACTCTTGGTGTCAAAATCCTTACTTTTAAAAATGGGGTTTGTTGCCTGTGCTGTGATCAACAACCTTATTTAAAGTACGAGAGCATATTGTAATGTAAAGCTGTGGGAGCTTTATCAAGCAGACCAGTCTAGAAAAATAAGGTGACATGTTTTGGCAATTTTTAGTTTCATTTGCAAATTGTGAAGTATTTCTTCCCTAGTTTATTTTGTTGGTCTCCTATTGGATGCCTCATAGTATCGGGTATTTATGTACAAAATTTCATTACAATAAATAGTTTTCAGATGTTGTATGAACATTAATTTTAGACATGCTTTAATATATTTGGGCTGCCAGGATTTGTTTGGTGTTTAAAGAGTGCTGCCTTTCAAACCACATGAGCTTATGTTTTTAATCTTGGGCAAAGTATTCACTATAGTTGACTGTAAAATCTT